CGAGCAACATGCTTTTGGTCTTCTTTTATACGCAATAATATATGTTCGCGGATTTTCGGGTAATTAATCCTTGATCATATGATAGAGACAAATTATACTTTATATAAGAAAAACACGATGCTTGACATAATCTGTTATTTCTGCTTTTCTTCCGCTTTACAAATGAGCTTTATTTTCTCGTACAAGTAAATAAATTTTAGTATGATTGCAAAAAAATACTGGGAGAAGAACTGTATGAATGCAGCCGCGCACCTGCAGGCAACAATTGTACTACTCAAATATTATTGCGTATTTAATATTAGTAGACTGTGCAGGTTTATGAAAACGCATACCTTCATGGAAATTGAAATTTACAACAATAAAAAACCACAAACAGCTCGAAATACTCATTACATAATGTTGATTTCATGAGATTTTCAACAATTCAAACCTTTGCCTTATAGGTACGATTTTTTCTATCTACAATAAAAATCCTGTACCAAAGTCCATATATTTAGATTGCTAGAGCGCAAAATAAAACATAACCTATATTTTCCATACTTTAACGCATCAACAGTTTATCCCGAGTGAGACTCTGATAGAGTCACGTGACTTAGTTCTGTCTAACATCTAATGAAAACAAAGTGGTGTGCTCCTGAAATCGGTATACCGTGAACTTCCAAACCGATCACGCATAACCTATTCCTACTACTGTTCAGGAGTTCACCAGCTTCAAAAGTTTCCTTACCGAGGACAGAAGTAATTTAGAACATAGTAGAAAAAGTTGGACTGTCGAAGGATTAAATCTCCAAGGAAAAATCTGTTACCAAGAATATGTAAAAGAATTATCTATATGAAACGACGACGGACTTTGCACCAAAATTAGTTTTCCCGTTTCACTGAAATATAATTTCCCCTTTCTAAAAAATGCAACCGGTAGAATTCGAACGCTACCCTTTCGTCATTTACTTTGCAGCTCGCAGGATCGGTTCGAGTTCGCGCGAGTAACGCGCAGCATTTTATCCAATCCTTTAATTAAATTACACCCGAAGGGGAGAAGAGCACCCTTTCGTCTGAAATCGAGAGTCACATCGTTGAGCCTCGGGTCGCTCGGGAAGATCATAGAGCTTAATCGTTTCACATCATTGGAAAAGGAATGTCGGGATCGTTTTCCTTTTGCGCAGAATTCTTATCGGAATCCGATATTGTATGAGAGGGTGAGTGGGGGTGGGCCGGGATTATATCGGCGGGGATAGGTATGGTGAAGCGGGGACGGCACGGAACGGGGCCATGGAACGTAGCCAGAAAACAGGAAACGTTAAAATCGAACCACTCTCTCCCGTCGCAAAATGCAGTTTAACCGTAAGTCGCCTTTGCTATCCCCTTCCCCCGCCGCCCTTTCC